GTAAATTACTTTTTTATTATTTTTATTAGGAGTGTCTCACTAAGATGTACACACGCTCCAAATTTCAGGTCATTCCGATTTATAAGAAAAAAATAGAAAAGAAACATTACCGGATAATCGTGACCATGCGATGAACTTTGGACGGTGATGAGGGTAGACGAAATCACTATTCATTTTCGCCTATAGGCATTGGGAAGGATTTTCCATATATATATATATATATATAGATTAACAAACTTTTCAAAATACAAAGGTTAATGACAAAACGTGTTATGAAGATATATATATATATATATATAGATCAACAAACTTTTCAAAATACAAAGGTTAATGACAAAATGTGTTATGAAGAGTGGATCTATTAATTATTTGGCTTTTTTTTTAAACAAAGTTATTTTTTATGGTAGCTGCTCATTAAGTAAGGGTGAATGTATAATTATCACTCCATAATTACCTTTGCCTTTTAGCAAAAATAATAACGATACTTTCTTTAATGATAAAAGTGCCCTTATTCCTTTTAAAGATATTGAGTAATTAAGAGGACAACTATGATAATTTTAACAGTTCAGACCCCTTTCTAAACATATAAACGGAAAGCACTTACAAACACTCATAGGTGAAGTTCTATAGTACTTCACTCACGGCCCATCACCGTCTAGAGTCCATCAAATGGTCACAATTGTCTCATAGTATTTGAAAATAATTTCTTTTACAAATCCGATTACCCTCGTAAGAAAAATAGAGTGCATGTTATGAAAAACTAACAAAGCATCATCCAAAAAATCAAAATTATATAGAAACATATTTATAAATCGATATACACACAAAAAAAATTTATTTTTATCATTCTTTTACTACTTTGCACCTAGGCTTGGAAGGTGCCGACTCCAGCCAACTCAGCCAATACCGGACTTGACCGAGTTTTAAGACCTTGCTTTTTAACCACAAGGACCACAAGGAGTCATTCATATTCAAGAGAAAAATAAACATAATTACCTTCATCATCTATCAATGAACTAGCTACAATCTATGAACAAACAATAGATAAGCAATGGGCACCATTATAGAGTTAAAAATGGAAAAGATTATTTTTCACAGTAAGCCACAATTAAAGATAAATTTCTAAGTACCAACCAAGTAAGTATACAACAGCATTCATTCCTGAACAACCAGGACCACCATTAATCCAAAATACAACTGGATCTTTTGAGAGATCACGCTCTGAAGTGGCAAAGTAGTAATACAAGTGCTTTTTATTTACTTGATTTCCCAAAGTGATATACCTGAAAGATTACAAGCATTTAGGGTTATATCATACAATTGGAACCCGACTGTTAACAAATAACATAAAAACAAAAAAACAAGGTAACTCCCACAAAGTAAAACAAGCACAAAAAACCTAAATCCGTACACCAAGACCATTAATGGCAAGGTTTTCCTAATATATGTTGATTATATAAAAAAAGCAAGAGATTATTTAATTTCCTTAACTATGATTAGAAAGGAGAAGCAATTGCTGAACATTAACGCAGGTCTCAGAACCCCTGAAAGTTGTTGAAGTCAATGGAATGGAGGAGTGTTAGAGAGAGAGAGAGAGAAATACCCCGCGTAATGCTTAGAGGGGAGAGGGCCATCAAAACCAGGAAAGCGGAGAACCTCGGCCCCATCAGGCGCCGATTCAACAACGCAGGAGCAGAGGAGAGATGCGATAATAGCGATGAGGAGTGGTGAAAATGGGGAGGAGAGAAAATGAGACATGACAGTGAAGAGTGTGAGATTCAGAGAGCAAGACGGTTCAAATCGAACCCAGATTTGTAGAGAGAAAGAGAGCAAGACAAGGTTCTAAATTGATCAAGAGAAGTGAGAGAGAGAGATAGTTGCGTACCGGAGCGAAGCAGCGACAGCAAAGGAAGCAGCCCGTCACCGGTGGCCCCACCATTTGTACGGCTAAGATATGCGTTGAAACCAGAGAGAGGAGAAAATAGTTTAAAAAAGGGTAAATTTTGTGGAGAACCTTAATTCCCCATCTTATACCCGCCTTCTATTTTTATTTGAAGCAGCACAAAACGATCTTTTAAATTTACCGCACCTTTGGACCTCCTATCACTTTTGATCGTAAAAATAACTCTCAATAAATATTTTTCTAATATTTTAATCTAAAAAAACGTTTCAAAAAACATTTCAAAATCTTTTTTAACCTACCTCATTATATCTCCCACCACGTTATATCTTTTAACTAAAAAAGTTTTAAAAATAGTTTTTTATTATATTTTTTTACCTTTTCAACCCCGCCACATTAAGGGCTCCTTCTCTCTCGTATTAGATTGAAATAGTATAAAATAGTTTGTTGAGATTAATTTTTATTATTAAAAATAAATAAATGGGGAAGATAAGAGATGAGGGAGTACGGTAAAAATCTTTAAAGATTTTTTTATACCACTTGAAAAAAAAAATAGAAAGAAAGTTATCACACCCCAAGAATTTATAATACTGTTATTCCTGAGACGTGACAGACAAAACATATATACTTCTATTGATAGGACAAATTTACACTGGCGAGGTCTTATAAAGTAACAAAAGAAAGCT